AAACTTGGGAGTAGACTTCACGATAGATTCTTCAGCTGATTTTCTCAAAATATCCACCATTTTGGGCGGTGACGTTCTGTATCATTTACCTCCACTGACGGAGGTCCAGTCGTTCACAGTAGGTGTTTTGGAGACCATAGTTGTAGTTGGGGAGTCCCTACTGAGAGACACAAGTTCACGGAGTGTCTAACACCGTTAATGTTATGGTGGTGCTGAGTTTCCGTTAATGTTGGTGATCGATCCCCCAATACAAATGTTCTCGAATACCATCTTATTCAACTCACCATTAGCCTTTATTTGTTACCGTATCAGGACGCCTTATTTCAGGGTTGCATACAATTTTTCCTCAAACCTATCAGGAAAACGATATTATTCAGCAAATCCTCAGAATTAATATTGTATATGTCACTTGTCCACTTGCGATCTGGCTTACTAAGTCTGTTGTAGACAATTGGTGGGAGATCTATACATGCATTTATGCATGTATAAAAAGACCGATCTATTTACTCCCACTTACTTTTACTTCGATACCGTTCTATATGCATGCGAATTTCCAATGGGTGGTAGTCTAGCCGCTCAAATATACCAATTCTAATCCATTTTGGTAACTACTTATGAATTTGTAAATCATGTAGTTCAGTGACTGCGTTTGTCTCAGGGCAGCAGGGATCGTGAATACCATAAGTCATCACTTTATGAGAAAGGAGGGTGTCGGGTTGTCACGTGAAAATAGTGGAGTGACAATTACAGTACAAAGAGGAGGCGATTCTTTCAAGAATATTAAGCAGGTTAATTTATTGCCAATGTGTAAGAAGACGGATTTGAATGAATAAGAGGGGAAACGGAAATCATAATAAGAGACGTGGAAGACGGTTGCCAAGTTTTGGTAGTGATAACCGCGGTAATTTGTAAGAAATGTCTCAGACACAGGTGGTTTAAGGAGGAGATGACAATCCATGGGCAATTATTTGCCTGTTGAGTCTCCTCTTAAACATATAAACTGATGGGCCTGTGCTCACTTCAGTCTAGAGAGCATTCAAAATGACGGCAACCCTTGATGAGAAAAGGTGATAACGTACCTGGATGTTCGCTCTCTGGTAAAGGATGTTTCTAGAATTGCCTCGATGAGCGTGGTGATAGTATCCTAAAATTATACTGGTGTTGAGGTGGCTTGGAGAGCCTAATGCTTCGTATTCCAATATCAGATCACCCCTTATATTCTTACTTGATTTATCAACAGATGGAGTGCTTCGTTTCTAATTATGATGTGGTCATACATAATCACGCAAACTACATTGCGTACAAAAGTTACTGTTAGACGGAATAACATTTTAGTTTCACTAATAAAACAGCTTCAGCTTCTTAATTTCTTAACGATACATTTCAAATGGTGGATTTCAACCAAAGATTTGGTGTGAAATAATTGTCCTTGACTTGCGTCAAGTGCTGAACTTCAGTGGTCAGAGGGCACTACGCAAAAAATGCGAGATGATCTTTTTATAATCCGCTTGCCAACTAGTTTATGTCATGAATGCTGTTGAATCTACCTGATGAATTACGTTCATATAAACAAATTTTGTATGTATCTAAAGGAATACATGCAACCCCTAAACTCAACCAATTCGGAACGATGAATAACTGTTTATGTCAGTCTAGTTACGCTCTGTTGCTCGGTAGAATCCATAACACGGTAATTATGTAAATGAAGTTTCTAAATCTAATTTTGAATTCAAACATACATTATTACCTAAACAAATATTTCCGCCCAGTTATTCAGCCAATAATCGTTCAATCAGTAGTCAAGTTTAAATATAATTAAATAGATGAATTGATAAAGGATATATAGGACTTACCAAGTGCAAAAAATAAATCAACATATCAGCACAGGGATGTTATTCTACCCTTTCTGGGCATATCACATGCAAATTGTTAGAATGATAATATTTAATTTTGCTACAACGCGAACTGTTCCCAATTCTGAGCGAATGCTTCGATTCACGATGAAAACTACAAAATTTCGGTCAGTTCAAGCAAATCAATACAACAAGTGAGCGTATGAATATGACAGCTGCCATAACTCAATAACAGCCAAAGCATCATAGATGTAGTTCAAGAAATAACAAAAAAATTGGTGAAGACGTTGATTAGACAAAATGTTTACGTAAATACAAATAATACAAATAGTGGAATAAAGATATCAACTAAATGCACACCAGAAGGAATCAAGAAGAATAGATCACAACGGTATGTACGTGGATGGATTATCATACACAAAACTTTCATAAAGGTTCTTACATTGTATGTGTTATTTCTTGACTTGTAGAGTTGCAAATGATGGGTACTGAATTTAGATGCTTTTCAGTTTTTGTACTATTAAATTTAATATACCAACTAGGAAGTTTCCTGGTCAAGCCGGCATGTGCTGTATTTGTAGAAAATGAGTCAGGACAGAAGACGGAGGACTAAAGTGAAAGTTGGAACCTCACGTTATTTAAACCAGAGTAAAATATACTATTTTGCGTAACATTCAGCAAGTGGACAAGAAAATGCTAGATAATTTACGGATTTTATAAGTTGATAGGGAAGTACGTTACAAATTCACATATCCAAAGTGCGAAATTGTCAGTTACTGATATCATGGCTACAACTTTTCGGCGAACACTTTTCAGTGCTCGGAAAGGGAATTTAGCGCTTTCTGATGCCATGTTAATGCAAATCCTCCACTCTACTATCAAACACACTAATTCGTTTTTGCCTTGTCGGATACACGAGCGAATCTACGACCATATGTATGCTACAGAACGCTTAATTAGATTTGAAATGTATACTTTAGGTGTGCATATAATGTATACCAGGACATAAGCTGTTACAAGAGTTTCATTTAAACCTATGTATATGCTCTAGTATACATGAGCATCCGCTCAGATTTTTCGGGTCTTCACATACGGTCTACTCGCCCTTAAAGAAAGTCCTGTAAATTTAACCCTCAGTGTTCATCGATATTCGTTTGCCGTCGCAAAAATACATCCTTTCCCAGTTATGTATGCAGTTAGCGCAAATTAAATGTTATCCAGATAAGCAATAGGCTTCTCCATCAGGTTCCATCAAACTTCGTGACTAGAACAGGGATGTAGTCCAGGAGATTAACGTTGATGAACCGCGCAGTTGAATTTGTAAGTGTTATGTCCAAACTAAGAATAAACGAGCAATAACTTACAGGAATTATTTATGCACTATTATTATGTATATTCTTGTCGTATAATTATTAAATAACTAGGTCATACATATGTATATGTAACAGCTTACATTCATTGGTTAAGAGTTGACTCCAAACAACCAAATATCTGCCAAAACAATGGAGCTAAAGTATTCGTTCACTTCCTTATTTCGTATAGGCATTATATTTCCTATTATCTTATAATGGATGTTGAAAACTTTGTGTATTTGAAGAGGTAATCCCCCACTCCACGGTAACTGTTTCGCGATCTAAATAAAAATTTATCCAATGTTAGCCTGGTTTCTTCTATCAATAGAATGAGGGTCGCCTATAGGCACGAAATATATTCTTCTTATCATAAGTTTTCACTTGACTCATTAGCTAACGTTATCTGATTCTCAACTATTCATTTATCTCCAATCTACTATTTATAGTCTCTTATACTCACCGTCACTTTTGGCTTAATCCTGTGTAATGACTACTTCTCATGTTATGGTGTGATGCGGTATGGTCTACTTGTACTTAAACCGCAAATATCTGAAATATGTGATTTTTATAATGAAGGCTGATATTTTTATTTTCGACTGATGTGACTGGGCCAGGAAAGAAGCTTCTATATCGAGTATCAATAGAGGATCAGAGTTGACACAAAGCTGCCAGAATCGGTTAACGTGTTGTTGGCGTGACAAAGATTGGATTAAAGCATGTTCGATGCTCGATTGCGTTGGTGCACGCTGATTGACTAAGAATTAGTCAACTTTGGAATTAACACCTGTGATATCCATCATTTCCTGTGTAGACGGCACACATTCTATCTTGTAACATCCACAGTTTAGCGCAGTCCTCGGAATAAAAAAATCAGGGTCGGAACTCAAATAAGATGTGGTTGTTTTCTATAAAAAGTGAACGAATTATCAATGGCCGTTGTAATCAGTGAAAATCAATCTAAGGGCGGTCGAGAGTAACTAATTCTCAAGTCAACTTTAGAGAACCCTATGTAACAATTAGGTCAACTATGATTATCGTTGACCTTAATACTGGTTAAAATTTTCCATAACTAACGGGGATTGGGATTCAGACTAGTCAAGTATTGTTGGATTCAAATAATGCGACGAAAACCAAAGTAATACCATTCCAGATTAGTCTCAATGTATCATGAACGTTCAGGGCTCGACGAAGTATTTTCTGTGACCTTCTTGTGATTAAGGGATCCAAAACCTAATCGAAGTAAAATTCAGGGATAGAATAATATAAAAACTTATTTGAAAAGTGGCCTGTTTGTAGAGAAGCAGGTGATCTAAGTTGATTAGCTGCTGTAAGGGTTGTGCAGAACGGCGTACTAAACGGCGTTCTGGTGCAGATGCGTAAACGCACGCCTCCAGCGAGGATGCGTCAGAGTCCACGCCGAAGACTTGCCGAACCATTTTCCGCTACAAACAGAACAGCTTCAATAAGTCCAATCCTATTAATTTGAGATCTCATCTACAAACTCCCTCTTTTTTCAGTAAGATCAGTTCTATCCAAACCTGGATCCATTATGAAAGTACTCAAAACTGTTTTCGATAAATGACTGAAGCGAGTTGATCTGGTAGACATATTTCTGCAAAAACAACTTTGAAAATCTACATGATTAGATGAGTGATTTTAAGTCATGAATCACTTCCATCACAATGCAAATTAGGCGCCAGGTAATTAACCAATAAAAACTTATCCTATTTTATGGATATAGGATACATGAGAACTAAAATTCTGAACCTCACCAAGTGAATATTAGACACTGAATGGAATTTATTCAAGGTTTGAGCTACAAGTGGTAACATTGGTCACCGGCTTGTGTGTGATTGTTAAGATTTTTGTTGTATCGCGAGTTATAACATAGTCCAATCACCCTTCAGATAAAGAAATTCAGCATTCTACTACAAAAACATGAAGCTCAATAGCTTTGTCACAGGCTTGTAAAGACCAATTAGACTATAGTCCAATTATAATTAGTCTATGCAATATTTAATTGATATTTCAGTACGGTTCCGGGTATTTGGTACCCATCATTCACAAATAAGAGTGACGAATATCTAAAGACTCGAGAATTCCTACTGTCATCTTAAGACTAGTAATCGACCTATATAGGTCGTGTGTGGTATGTTAACATACCATTTTTTACAGGCTTTTACTCAGGGCCTCTTCATTGATTTTATTGTTGTTCGATGATCACAGAGAATTCCCAAACTAAGGTTTCCATATGCCTTTTATTCTTAAGTTTTAAAGTTACCGCACAGTCCTTTGTAAAGATCTTTAATAAACGGTCAGCAAATATGACGTCGAAGATGAACTCCGTTCTTGAGGTGCTTCTCAATCTCCTTACTTATCACTAGGGAGATTCAAGCTAATTAGTGGGCTCTACCGGCCGGTACGAACTGTGTTATTCCAGTGTTAGTAAACTAAGTAGTTCTACGTGTCTAGGAAACTTGTCTCAGTAAACTAAAAACTAGTATCAGTTTGTTTCGAGAGATATTACATGGACATAAGAGAATGTTAGTGCATGAAATGCCTAGGAGTTATAGACAATAACAGTTTTTCATATTTATCTAATTTTCTGGTAGATGAGAGTACTTATTTCTGCAAATCCGAGAACAACTTGGGTCCCCACTTGATAATCCCATGATAGATGTAAACAAAATAAGTTCGACCCACATTAAAGTTTAAATTGCGGACTATATTAGTTTTTAGTTCACTTTAGAAGGAAAAGTGTTCTTCATCATAAATTTCTGTAACATTTAAGAGAAGGCTATTTAATAGGCATTTCGAAGCAGTTGACGAAAAAAGGTCTGCCCTCTCAATTCTCTTATCCTCCTTTCTAATTTTCCATTCAAATAAAGTTCCGGTGTACAAAGTCATTCATGTACTAGGTCCTATGTTGTTTATTCAGGTTTCATGACGATATTGTCGAATCAGTCCAGTGACCCTGTAATTTCTTTATCTATGCTACATAAAAACCCACGAAATCATTTAAGTCTTCCATAATTTATTTTCCCTTAATTATGTTGTTATCGTTCGTTCTTAAGTCATTATCCTTTAGCTCATTTTTAGTACTGCCAAGTCTAATAAATGTTCTTCACATGTGATGAAACACGAACATACAAATTTATCCTGTTTGCCAGGTTTGCCAGCTTTCTCATGACTTAGTGCCAACAAGTTATAAAAAGCCTCATGTACACATCTTGAAAAGATCACTAGATTCATCTGTAGGCGTTTGATATACGGAAATACTTCCAGTGATCATCCAGTCAAGGAATGTAGTCTGACATGTGTGCATCGGTTCATGCTGCTGCACTATTAGCACATCAAAGTTGTGCTGTGGTAGTAACATTATTAGTGCAAATAGGAGAGATTATACAGCAATGTGTTTGTAGTGATGTTTTTATATTATTCAAGTGTCTTACTTAAAGCATGTAGAAATGGTTTTCTAATAAATAAAGCCCTTTTTGCATACGGTGGTATCTGTTATAAGGTCAATTAATCTTTTTTCACCATATATTGGATTATTTTAGCATCTATCGTAATTTATAGGAACCATACGGTTCCACTTCAGACCAAAGTTCTAAATAACCGTATATTATTCGAAATACAAAAGAGCTATCATATAAATGGGTAAGCATTCTTTCAAACACAATCCTTATGATTTCAGGTGGTATATTTAGTCTGTTTTCCCGACTGTTTGGAAGTAAAGAACGGAGAATCCTCATCTTAGGCTTAGATGGAGCCGGGAAAACGACAATTCTCTATAGGTTACAGGTTGGTGAAGTGGTAACAACCATCCCTAGTAAGTCCTTAATTTTCGATAGATTCTTTATAAACGGTACTTTTTAGTGGTACTTAAATAGCCATAATCGTAATATTTAAACTCAGCCGAAAAATCTTAGTGTAAATTTCGATAAAAGTTCTATTTTCAAAAAAAGAAAATCTGTCCATCCCAAACTAATATGAGGTGTAAGAATAATTTATATAAACATATTTTATGGAAATACTCTTGGTAGCTTATAAAAAAACTGTTTCATAAAAAGAGAAAAGGTATGCTGTTTGGCGTACAACACTCTTATTCCCTACTAGTTTAACTCAGCAAGGAAGTCCTCTGTATATATAGTTCATTGCTTTATAAAGTAAGAATCTAATGGGTTAGTTATTAAAACGTTATTATTTAATATTACGATATTAATCAGCAAAAGTCTTAATTCAAACACGAAAATATAATTCCTATACAAGCGAGCGAAGTTAATGATTACTAGTTTAATAGATGAATATTTAGTATCGCATAACAAGATATTTTCTCATACTTCCGGTCGTATAAAGGGATAATGCATATTTATTACTGTCCTGGGGTTTTAAAATATAATTAGTTTAAAAAAATCGTTTAAAGTTTTTGAAACTACCTTCATTTTTGCCTTGTATTTAATCAAAAAACGATTTGTAACAGTTAATCAAAGTTTAAGAACAGGTTTAAAGTTTATTTGGTCGAAAAATGTATTGGAAATGAATATTTTAATAACTTAATTATTTCCCTGATATCCAAAGTGTGTAAGTTGATACGAACCGAGTTACAAACGAGCATGTAAAATATTTACCGTTATCTATCAGTATAAACTAATTATTATTCCGAGCTTTCTCATATGAATAGTAAAAGTCCAGATCGGTCTAAATAGCATTGCGTACTTCTCACGATAACCACTAAGTTCTGACTCAAATGTATCACAAAGGTCAAAGTTCCTAGATATATTTCCAGAGATAATGTGGATTAAATATTAAAATGTCCGAAGTATGAATAAAGTAACCATCCAATATCCCATCTTTTATTTATTCTTAGCTCTGTTTTTAAAAGCTACTGGCTCATATATATTTGATGCCCTCTTGTACCAATATTTATATGTTCAAACAAAGAAATAAATAAACCCTAACATTTTGGACTAACTATTTTAGACGAGTTAAGTATTAATTATGCTAACTGCATATACTGCTTCGATTTGGGCACCCGAGCAGTATCCCAGCCCTCACACAAATCGAATGATTTATGTGGTGCATATATATTTGGTGCCTCCTTGTACCAATATCTATGTGTTAAAATAAATAAACTGTCTATTTAAAAAATTTCATAAAGCTTTTCCTGAATAATTAAGATTTGAATGAATATGAAACAAGAATTTATTGCGAAATTACACTATTGATGCTGAAAATTCTTTCAGTCAGTCAGTCAGCTACAACGTAGGACCAGGCACATATGTGCATCGGTCCAGGTTGCCATACCTCATTAGCACAGCAAGATGAACACCGGATTCATAGGAGTGGTTAGGTCAAAGGTTGCAATAAGGATATAGTATAGGAAGAAAGAATTAGTTCGTAGACAGAAAGAATGAAGTGATTTTAGTCTCTTAGTTTAAGGGAAGACAGGGAGTGTATACACCGACGCCATTGTGATCGATTCCGAGCCATGTCCCCAAGAGTCTCCAACCATTGGTTACGATAGTCACGCGGACCCCAACCAAGTAGTCTGCATCTACCAACGTGGCTCAGACTAGAAGTTAGTGACTTTACTATGACAAGATTCATAGTATTAACTAATACTATTAGTATTATTATCAATAAAATCACTGAATTCCATATCAATATGACCTCTTTTTTAAAACAAAGAGACTCATCGAAATTCTTTAGAATTATTGATATACATATTCTTTTTTTTCCAAAATCTCAGCTATTGGATTCAATGTAGAAACAGTTGTTCACAAAAATCTTAAATTTCAAGTATGGGATTTAGGCGGTCAAACTAGTATTCGACCATATTGGCGTTGTTATTATGCGAATACTGATGCTATTATTTATGTAGTGGATAGTATGGATAAAGATCGAGTTGGAATTTCTAAACAAGAATTATTTTCTATGCTTGAGGTAAGTTTGTTAATTTTAACTTAATACATGTATTAACTAATAATGATTTATAGTTGTAGGTATGAAGTTGTGGTTGTTCTGTTTTATTGAGATCACGAACCGACCTATGAGAGCCATTGAAAACCCGAAAACACGAGCAGTGGAGTTCAACCGTGTTGGGTGTAAGGAAGTCACCTACCGAATACAATGAGAAATGGCCGCCTAGTATCTTTTACACCATTAAATCTTGACTCAATGGTTTAGAGGTCAAGTGTTCGTACTCGTGACGGCAAGTCGTAGATTGGGTTCTTGGTTGCGGGGTCGTAGATGCAATCTGTTGATGATTCCCATACTAGGACTGAGCTGCTATCCAGTGCTTTCACGTTTCACTGGTTATTTAACTTAAATCAGTTCGTGATCTCAATAAAATTTACATTCGTGTTTTTTATTAACCCCTACGAGTGACGTTCAGTATTTCCGTATTTTTTTATTCTGTGGTTTCAACGTTCTCACTTATTCTTTAGATGAAGTTGCTTATTCTTGTACCACGTAGAATGAATTTATTTCAACAAGTAGCTGATAATTTTGTGACAGAATTTACTGTATTACTTCATTTGATTTTTCCTCGATATACTAAATTCTTAGCGTACTCAGACACTGTTGATACAGCCTACATCAAAATATTTCTTAAAAACGTGTGTTTAATAGACGGTTTATACTCTATCATAGATGTGTCACAACATATTAACGTGGAGAACTGGAGCGCAAGTTATGTTAGGTCTTGTTTCCCAAATTGACTTTCATATGGTATTAAACAGCTAAAGCAATAAGGGTTGTAGAATAACATAAATTCATCAACCTATTTCACGGTTTCTCATCAGCTGCATACAACTTCAAAGTATATTTATTAACAAATTTTTAGCATACTTTAGTTTGTGAAGTTTAGATAGATGCTCATGACAATCAAAAATCGTGATAATCAGAAGAATAGGGAAACAAAGTGTATAAATAAACATAGTTAATATCGATGTGTTTTTATATGTGAAGAAGTAATAATTAAGAGATTATGTAAGAGCAGCGAAATTAATATGTGATTAAGTAATCTCCCAATATGGCAAAACAGACTGTTATGTGAAAATCATTAATATTATGTAAGAGATAAATATCAGAAGACGAAAAAATAATAAAAACATTGAGGACATTGTTGAAAATGAATAGAAGTTATTAGATAAACATCCAACCACACCATGGCAGGAAATGTCTAATAGAACTTTCTTTCTGTATACATAGGTCAATTCGGAAACGTTTGATAGTGATCATCTCTGTAAAATGAAGTAAGATTGGTGTTTTTTGTCTGCTGACTATTTAGATCTTAGTGTAAGACGAAAAAGTGATGAAAGTTTTGAGAAAAGTATAAATACGAAAAAAACATGGACAGAACAGTATTTGAACTTTACCACTCACTTCCTAGTAGAACTACGCGTAGACATTCTCCAGAATGATAGTGAAAGCTCCACAATTGAGTATACAGTTTTCGTGTTAATAATTTCACTTTATTGATTTTTTTATAAAAAAATATTGTACTAAAATCTGTAAGAACTGACTTGATATAGCTGTTAAAGAAATTGTTCAATACAGTCACTGACGTACTAAATAGGAGCTTACTTTTTTGCAAAGTCTTTTGATGGCACTGAGCAACAATACCAGGATATTTGGGATGCGTTCCTTCTCTTCTAAATGCAAATTGTTGCTTCAGGACTGGCCTGTGTCAACACCTAAGCTAAGGATAGGGAGTGAAGTAGTCGAACGCGTTGACAACTTCACTTATCTTAGAAGTCTGATAAGCCCTAGCCATAGAACAAGAACTCAAATCTTGTCCAATTGCGTCAGCTTAACATTCGGTCAATATCTGATTAACTGATTGTATTACCACTCCCTCCTGAAGGAAAATAAGTCTGGTCTCTTGAGTTCAGCTGTATGGATTTAGATGGGAGCATATAATTCCTTTAACCTAACGAATTATTCAAGGAAAGCATACTCTTAAATTTATATCAAAATATAATTAGTGAGCCAAGAAGCCATCTGCAAGCATTTCTTTGAGTGACGTTATTCTGGTTCAATGTTATATTTATTGGTCCTTATTCATTGGTTGATACAATTGTTGCTCTAAATACAGTTCTATCACTGAACGATAAATACTTACAACAAGTATTGCTTCGATAAGCTTTGTGTACAATGGGTTCGATGTATTAATATCTCATGAACAGCAAGAGTTGCAAACAAAGTTTATTGTTCTTACTGATCCTTTGCTAATGCGTGGAATATTTTCATGTGACACAGACACCTTTTCTTGTTACTGTACTCGGTTTATCGAATTGATTGAATTTCTTCATTTCCATCACGGACTAACCTTAATTAGAAAGCTATTCAAAACCGTCAAACAGGGGATAGCGATTTCATCTTACCATAAGACTCTTCTTCAACAATACACATTCACGATCCTATAGGAAATCGAGCTTAGGACCGTCTGATCTCACTATGAATGTTGGATCTTTAAACTACTGAACCGTCCTTTAATGTCTTACATGCAATATCACCAAACAATTATCCATTGCTACTGTTAACTAACTACTTCACACACACACACTGTAATTGCATTGTTGTCGTTTAGTCAGGTTGTATAGTATTTTGTACAGAAATGTTTTACATTTCGATCGCCTTGATACCTAAATAGTAACCTGATATACACAGGTTTTTATGTGCTTCTATTTAAATAGAAAAAACTTGGTTAATATTTCAGAATTATTTCAACTTGTTTTGATTGTAATTAAGTATATTGATTTTTTTTAATTTCTAGCGGTGATATAACTTACATTGCGTAAATTAAGAGTAAATTTTACTGAATGAAATCTGTTGATCAGATTGTATAGATGAGGGTTTCAATTCGCACGGTTATAAAAAGTCTACACCTTGTGATGTGATGTGGGCTCCAGTATGCTGAAGGAACAAATGGATGACGAACAAACCGTTGGTCATTGTCTACCATGGGACTGCATCTCCTAACTTTGCTCCACTGCCTCGTGCATTAGACCTTTAGGTCAACGATTCTGGGTTTGGCCCCCTAAGAAAACCACCTGCTTCGGTTTGGGCACCCGAGCAGTATCCTAGCCCTCACAAAAATCGAATGATTTATGTGGCGTATATCTGTTTGGTGCCTTCTTGTACCAATGTTTATGTGTTTAAATAAATATAATAATATTAATAATAAACAATTGAACTATCTAGCTCTAAGAACTCCAAATCAACATTGATATAGCCATTCGTCGTACAGGGTGGACAGAATACTTATCAATTCAAACTATCAAAGTGTTATAGATTTTTAATTTTATTACCAAAATTGACGTAGTTTAAAAGTAAAAAACTGGATAAATTTGATTTTAGCTGACTCAAAATCGTTTGAAAACCTTTAAATTGCTCGTTTTCTTCTACTTATATATTATTGAAACGTATATTTGATACATTACCGCTGATACTGTTGCCACTTCTAATATTTTGGGATTTGGTTTAACAACTTCACCTCTTTGTGCAAATGGAGTATGTTAACTTAAACCGATGTACTTATGTATCAGATTCTACTCTAGGTACATGGAATGTTCGTACAATGTGGGACACCGGGAGAGCCTTCCAAATCGCTGCAGAAATGAGGAGTTACAACCTAGAGGTGCCTGGGATCAGTGAAACACACTGGACGCAAGTTGGACAACAAAGACTAACTTCAGGAGAGCTTCTGTTATACTCCGGCCATGAAAAAGAAAATGCTCTACATACACAAGGAGTTGCATTAATGCTGTCCAAACGAGCACAAAACGCACTTATAGGATGGGAATCTCATGGACCAAGGATCATCAAAGCCTCCTTCAAAACAAAGAAAGAAGGCATTTCAATGAACATCGCCTATGTGCCTTCAGTAAACTGGTCATAGGCGACACCATATTCCCACATAAGCGCATTCACAAAGCCACGTGGACTTCACCGGATCACACTACGCAGAACCAAATCGACCAATTTTGTTGCATAACTAATACTAAATTGTTCCAACTCAATTCAAAACTAGAAAAGTGATATGGCTCAAAACATAACACTTCATTAAAATAGAACCTCTGCTGTCCTCTTGGTTACTGTATCACTTATTCTAATCTCACTTTGATTTGGTCATTTAAGTATTGTCCGTGCTGATATAGCATAGATGGAGTGTGGCTAGCAGTTTATTTATTTAAATACGTAGACATTGGTACAAGGGGCACCAAATAGATATGCGCCACATAAATCATTCGGTTTGTGTAAGGGCTAGGATACTGACCGGATGCCCAAACCGAAGCGGGTGGTCGTCTTAGGGGGGCCACATTCGGAGCCTTCAACCTAATGGTCTGACCCACAAGGCAGCGGAGCAACGTAAAGAGATGCAGTCCCATGGTATCCGGTGACCAATAGTTGGTTCATACGCCATTTGTTCCTTCAGGATACTGGAGCCCATGTGTACCATTGGTTTGGGATGAGGGTTTTCCAACTCCCCAGGTGGACTCTATGTCCACCAACCCGGTTAAAGCACTGGACATCCGCTTTACGTCCCCTCGATTTCGTAAACAACACCCCAGCTGCGAGAAGACAGTGAGTAGGACTTCTCTGGTAGTGGTTGTGTGCATGTGGCCATGTGAGAGCATTTCGAGAGGGATAGTTGACTCTCTCCACTTTCGGCCGTACCACGGCATTTGGTGGCTAGCAGTAGATTCCAGGATGTGCGTTTCGTTCTATTTAGGACTGGTCAGCAGGACGTATCAGTATCCCAAGTTTGATATTCACTCCTGGATTCAAACCCACTACGGTCCATCCAGTTGTACAAGTCAGTAACTATATGAACTCAGTAGCCAAGCGGATGACGCTATGGGGTTTGAGGTAAATTGTACTGGGTCTAAGTCCCGGAGTGATCATCAACTCTAGGATCTAGGACGCTCGTCTCGTCCTAATTAGGAGTGGTTAGCATGACGTACTAAGTTTACGTAAACTTACTATCTTTCATACGTTCAATAATTATATCGCTTTGGTTGATGTTGTATGAATAATAAAACCCAGATGGAATCCATAGACCATTGATTTGGTACTGATTAAAAATCATCAGCGTAATCTATCTGCAGTCCTGATGAGAATTATAATACATACATTGGAGGTGTTTTATTACTATCATTACTAAATGATCAGAATAAAAACCAACTTCATGGTATTGTCTCTAGTATCTATTGGATTCTTTTACTAATTACCCGACCTCCTAATCCCAACCAGCACAAAACTTATATCCTCCAGTCGTTTAACATCAAAGAATTTCGTTAAGTCATCTAATGGACATTTTTAAAGAGTGATTAATAGAATTGCATCAGCACATAAAGAGGGAGCACTAGACGATAAGACTTTTATTCGCCGATTAATTTGTTAATCCTACTTTTGTCTCATATTGTTTCACTCGGTTTGACAAAAATGAGTACAAGAGTGAGTGGGTTGGGAACAACAAACAATTTTCGGATTGAGAAGCCAGAATGAAGTCCATAAATGTAAAAGTACAATTTTATGTTGAAATTATAGAAATTTCTGAGATGAGTTAGTTATATTTTTACTAGCATCGATAATGAATTATAACCAGTCTAATTGAATTTCTCTCATATTGTGTCCATAAAATCTTTGGAAGTTTTGAGAAATTTACCACTTGGACACTTGCTACTAACTTCCTAGCTGCTTACGTATAAACCCTGGGTACACCTCAACTCGAAAAATGGGAAGAGGCACGAAGTGTATGAGCTTTGTCTCAAGGTTAGTTATGTGCAAAGAATCAAGTGTATTTATAGCGTCTTGTGTCTTTAACCTTCCAGAAACTTCTGGAAATGCCAAATATAGCAATGATGTAAGTAATTATTCAACCAAAATGTGACAATCGTGTGGATGTTTTCCGTGAAACCCCTATTCAATATTAGATGAACATTTTCCAGTTTTCTGAGCCTCTGATGAAAGATATTTACAGATTCCAAAAAAATCTTTTCAAATAAATATACTTTCATGCTTACAAGCTTTTTGTGACGTTACTTAATTTGTCTCGGCATGCAGGAGGAAGAGCTTCGTGGTGCTGTACTGGTAATATTGGCAAATAAACAAGATATATCTGGTTGTATGACTATCAGTGAAGTAGCACAATCACTTGGCTTAGCTGCAATTAAAAATCGACGTTATCAATTATTTAAAACATCTGCATTAAAAGGTGAAGGATTGGAAGAAGCCATGGATTGGTAAGTTTATTCAATCTATTATAAAATGAATGATTAACTTTACTTTAAGTCTGTATTCCTTATAGTTGAATGGAGTGGTTAAGGTGTTTGACTTTCAATCATTAAGCCATATATTTAAATCACGCGCTTCATGTACTTATATTTCAAGAATTAGTTGGTATCACCAGCCTTCGTACTTACAGCGTGACTCAAAGCGAATTAAATGTATTTGTACATGGTAAATGAGTAAACGGGAGATGTATACAATAAGATGCTAGTTGGCTGACGGTGATGAACTGGATGGCTCACCTACTTAAATTGGGTTTCGCGCTAGTTGTCACTTGTCAAGGGCGAGTTATATTTATAATATTATCGAAACTAATGCTCCTCGTTAAATTCAAACTTGGGCCATTCATTTTTCAAGTTAGAGATGTTACCAATGAACTCTTTGAGTTTCGTTACCCTTCTGCATGTGATAGTGAATGAGACTACGTCCATGTTTCAGGGTTTGAGTACACTTGATGGTACTATGGAAACAATTAAGTCAACCAACTAAGTCCGTCAAATTGATACCGTTGACTGGTTTAGTTTTTTCCTAAACTTTCCTACTTTAAAACTTAATTCTCTTTCATTGTGCACTGGATTATTAACTTTATGTAACCGCTAATGTTTATTGGTCGGAAGTTATGATAACTATTACATTTGTTAACATAATACAATATGTCTTTTATTGGTTCACATTCACATTTGTTTAGATGATATGTACTTTACCGTAAATCGGCTGATAATCAAACTTATTCGTTTGTATTAAGGTTTCAGATTTCATAAGATCCTTTTGTACATAATAATATTATTTATTGAGTTGATAGTTTGTAAACAGAAAAGTCCACATTGATTTCAAGGCGTGAATGTTTACCAAACTATGGAGACTTCACAGAGTTGCAGTAGCGGTTTGACGATTTAAACAATCGGCCCTCAACTAACAGGTCGGATTTTCGAACTTCAATCTGCCTGCTTCAGCTTGAATGATCAAGTATCACCACTATGCCTCTAATACAAACAATGCAAATCAGTTGTATCGTGCTTGATGACTGCGATACATTGTTACTTCTGAGAGTTTTGAACAGTCTGTAGGGTACTTAACCCTTACATAATTAGATAGGTGACGAAAATAAATATCTTCATGAGTTGATATCACATCACCATTTGTTTATTCTTAGCGTTTTAGTCAGTCAGCCACAACGTAGCACCTGGTACGTATGTACATCGGTTCAAGTTGCCATATCCCATTTGCAGATATGTCAAACCGAATCCCAAAAAATTAGAGATGGTATCAATATCAATCGTAATAAGAATTGGGCATCGTAGATAAGATCCGAGGGAGAATATAAATTAGTGAAACAAAAACGAAAAAAAGTCATGAGAAATATAGAATCTCAGAATTAGGGAAAAGATAAAGAATGGATGCATGTGCCCCATTTCAAACTATTTTAAGCTATGCCATTCCCAACTAAATTACACATTAATCACTCTTGTAAGCTGAAATATGGAAAACTGGTGACTCAAAATATTTGACGTGTTCTGATCAACTTTTGTCGATACTAAGTAAACAACGAAATAGACTCACTCGTCATATTTTAATAGAAAATATCCTGTGATATCCTAGTTCATGGAATTAGAAGTTATTTACCTCACAATATTATTGCTAATTACATAATATCTATTTGAATAAACGTCATATTTTATTTATGCAGGTTATCGAACACTCTGTGTACACAGAAATGATTTTCGCTACCAAAGTTCCTTCTTATTACACAAATGAAATAGCTTGTGGATTGGGGAGTTCCTCGTTTTTGATTTTACTTTTTACCGGCCATTTCTTTGTAAATGCCCTCCTTTTCATTTGCTGAGTTTGACGAAATGTCTCGTCTCTTAACTTTTATACTTACAATCATTTGAACTAATCAATGTCTTCCTTTGTTTCCACTAAAATGTACAATTTGACTTGCCTGTGATACACCTATTTTCAACCATAATACATTATCGTTGGTAGATATGACCCATTATAAACTACATAGAAGTTACTTATCTATTACTCGTGGAACATTTGCCACGCTGAAGATATACTGATGGTCTTCCTGATCGTAGGTATCTTGGTTTCTTAGTACTAACCTAGAGGTTAGATTGATTTTTTTCAGATTACAACTTGCATCTAGTATGAAATAGAGTCCCAAGTCTGTTAGTTCTTGATTTAGCCATGTCAAAATGATCAGTGAATATTTTCGCCACTTTTAGGTTACTAAGAGCTTCACCGCTAGGTCTCAATAGGGTATCAGTAATACCTTGTGATCGTCCTTCGTTAGCCTCAATAATTCTTGTAGCCATGAGGCGTGCTAATGATGCTCTAGAACGGTCGTGTCGTTTGACCGGCTGATGCGAAGTTGAAAAATATTATTGTAAATTATATACATCTAATTTGCAACTACATTAAAGATCATTGTTACGTAATCACCACTCACAATGGGTTGATTGAAAGAAGCATCTTTTCATGAAACATTGAAGTGGAATTGGTTCTCAACCATTCTATTCTTAAAGCCGAACATACGATAACAGAGGAGACCCATATTAAACATCGAACACTTTGAGGCCAGAGATGGTCAACGTGAAAGGACTAAATCACGACAGAATAGCTGAAGATGCATTAAAAACGACGAACCAATTACGCCCACAGCAAGACTAAATTGCAATAAATATTTAGGAAAGAAATGATGAGCATGAGAGGCAAAGCACAGAGACATTATAAAGTCAGTGAGACAAGAACATCCTAAGAACGTATACACAGGCCTATATGACACCTTCACCTCTTTGTCCCAGCGGTCTTACTATTGTCGCAAACATATGGCGTCACGAGTAATAAGTCGAGTTTTTTCCCAATGCCTCAGTCCCGGTTTTGTACGATCCATTGCATTACCCTCAGTTTAGTATAACAGGATGTATGATTAGCACTACAATTCTACAGAGATATACGCGTGTAATTTGTTTATTTCAACCGACCCACAGAAAAACTAACTGTTTAGAATGGAATGAATAGACTTATATTACACACAACTAGATCAAATTGCCCGACACCTCTTTAAGTTTTAATCCACATCTACACTTTATTTGCCACTAATTTCCAGATTCTGAGTTCACAATAATGATTATACTGCGTTTTTTATTGTCACAGGACCTAAGAAATCAAAGTTTATCCAGTTCTTGGAGTGATACAGTCTACTATTCGGTTTTAAGAGCAAAGATCTGAAGAAGAAGAAAAGCCAATTTTTAATCACTAACTCCAAAGGTAGTAGCTAGCAATGCTTCACAGTTAAGAAAAATAAAAAGATTGAGAAGATACTACGGATCCTTTACATTACTTGAGAACATCGTTGTCACTTATAAGCATTGGACCACTAGAAACTGTATAGAGAACAATCTCTTTACAAAAACCCTATAAATAACCTAGTCTGTATTTAAATAATTTGTCATTGATGCATCTAGACATGTGTTAGTTGCCCAATAGAGCGGACGGAATGACTTGCTAAGTCGACTGAAAAGAACGTTACGCCAGGTTAGTAACTAATTACTATATAGATATACTAGACTCAAACAAGACAACCTGTTGTCGGCCGATGTTCCTGATTACTATCAGTGAGATCCAACGGTGTGAAACGCAGTCGAATTCACCACTTCATCATAACCTGAGACATTGACGAGCCAGTTGTTCTAACTAACCAAATACTTATAGATCCACGTCCCCGTACTTTAGGATGGCAAAATGCAAAGAAACTAGGAAGAGCCCAAGGGTACGAATAATAACAACAATGGGGACATAGAATGTGAAGGGACATCCCACTGAATAAAACCACCGGATGAGTCGCTAAGAAGACTTTCATCGTCAAGATGTGATTGTGGGTAGAAGACAATCGCACCCGTCTCATTTAAATAGATTTCGAATCCTCCCACTGTCTTCAATAATATAGACTGTTTATCTCCCAGATCGGCGAATCCACAGCTTCTAGTGAGGTCGTAATCGGCAGTTCTTGACTCCATAGGCTAGTACGATGTTTTGATTTGGAGGCCTATAGTCTTCCAATCTCCTCCTACGTTATTAAGAACCACCTATATTAGCCTGTGAGCAGAGAAGCACAGACGGACCGCCTGGACGGATGTTAGTTCATAAACTAATCAACTTGCCATCATTACAGGATATCTTACGTTCCTTACCAGTCACTAACGGATGTAGTAAGATCACACTTGTGTAGGCCCAGATTGCTACATCACTACGTCACGGTGAGGAACAAAACTTTCCACAATAAGGGAGCCGTAGCATTGATACAGTAGGTTCTTAGCAAACGAAACTAGTAAGCAGGACGTCTGACGCAATGTAAGGTACCAAGTTGTAATGGGAGATGAGTCTGCAACATATCTATGGAACTAGATCCGATTGTGAAACATCACAAAATGTATGCAGCTACTGGTTATGGCTATCGCATTGACCCACCTACTTAATGGTTCTGCTATAGGCCTCCAGATCTTGGTAGACACCAACGACCGAGTACTTCCAAGTAATTACGACTGGAAGTTAATCATTTCTTATTTGGTGAGTTCTTCTCAGCATTCGATAAAGCACTGTGTCAACTGGATGTCAGTTTCACTTGCTATTTTGGCTTTAAACCATGTTCTCAAGTATTACATTTTATATTGAGGATTCACTGACATTATAAGGGCTTTTATTTGAAGGCACTTATCATAAACATTTTACTGCGGTCTTTAGGATCCTCGAATATAATGAACTCTTCAGACACTTCCCAAAAACACATTAAACTTTGTTATTAATCAGTACCCCTCACGATTTCAGTGTAAAAGTTTGATGGCTTAACATTTGTAAACTGTGCTTCCATGATGATGTGCGGCGAAAGTAACTATCTGTGTTGTATAAAAACATCCTCTGAATATCACATCAATGGTCAGAAATCATGGGAAATTAGGCAGTCAGTCCGAGTCTATGGCGAAAAATCATCGTGCCATTACGATGTCGTGACATTTATTTGTTTCTCTGACTCGACCGATTTGAACAAATACTGAATGTTTATAATTATTTCCCCTTTTGAGTCAATTTTTAACTGAAATAAGTGTCCCATGCATATGTCATATATGTCAAACAATCATAAGAATGAAACATATTATTGATCACCGGGAAAAGGAATAAACCAGCATTTTCATGAACGAAATGATATCTATGTCTTTCATCACAAGATATCCAACCACGATCGCGGTAAGCAAGAATATTGCGTACCAAAATAAACCACGTTTGCGGTTTTCAGTAACTTCGTATACAGTTTCTTGAGGTTCAGAAAATCTGACGCGATTTTTCGAGCGGACACTTGTCTCTTTAGCTGCATCAGACGAATCGCTATTATCTGAAGAATCCGGATTTTGAACTCTTATATGGTGTTAAAGTTTCTGTTAGACACTTACGGCTCTTCAATCACCAGAGAAGCTGGAAAACGTACATCGTCATGAATATTAAGAAATAGGACATACGATCAATTAAAATTGCCAGCTTTTTGCGCAATATTCTCCTAGTGACGTCATCTTTGTAAACTTAAGACGTAGCAATAGTGCAACAAACCTTGAATAGGTGGTGGGTAATATCCCTTGCCTGACAACTCGGCTCTTAACTCATCATCAGTAAGAGATAGTATTCGTTCCATATCTTAAAGTTGATAGACGCATTACACATGTAACGGACAACCTTGAGGCACCAGATGACCTAGCGAACTAAAACAATGTGTAACACGTGTAATCAGCAGTCACTGGAAGACAGGAAGACCTAAAGCCACAACACACACAATGTTAACTGAACACTCTACACCACAGAGAGAACGAGGAATGGCGGACAATGGACGTTTACTTTCAAAATTAAATTCGCGGGGTCTGTACAGAAAGAGAGCTAGTTTACAAAACGGTCTTATGAGTCATCCTGTAAGTTTAGTGTGTGCAGGGCTTGCTCTTCTTCTTCTAAAGCGTTTATTCTTGCTTGCCCTGCAATAGAAAGAAAACAAAATCTATTAACAGCATCATACATGATGATTTTAATCTCGTTACATCGCCCCCTCTCCTAATGAGGCACTGTCCTCAGTGCCTGATCTTGGGCACGGGTATGCTGTCCCTCCTTCAGATGGTACTTCGTAAAATCTAGTGGCCGGCGGTGGATCAGCGAGTTGAACATCGAAGGGAAATGTCGTCCGATCGGGTTTTATCTGGTTGTAGTGCACCGTTATCACATCGTCTTTAGGTCGTTGTGTGTTACGCAATACAAACGTGGTGGGCGATCGGATGAGGACAATTTCAAAGGGGCCTTGCCAGGGTTGATGGAATTTACTGCAACCCCCTAGCGACGTCATTGGGCGGCGTAACCAGACGCGATCTCCAACCGTATACCTAGGTCCTTGTGCTTGACGATCATATATATCTTTTTGGTGTCCACTAGCCTTGCCTAAGTTAATGTTGACCAGACGGTAGGCATCAGCTAGTCGGTTGCGAAGAGTACGTATGTACGGAACATGCTCTTGTTTTTCGTAGGGCAGCAGGGGTGACTGTATCTCTACTGGTAGGCGTAGTTCGTGCCCGAACAGCAAAATAGCAGGCGAGAATCCCGTGGACCCATGTACCGACGTACGATATGCTAAAAGGCATTGGGGAAGCACCTCATCCCATAACTCCGGTGACGATCTGCTGACAAACGACTGCAAGATGGCTTTAATAGTTCTGTTTGTTCTTTCCACGAGGCCGTTACCTTCTGGGTGATAGGCAGTGGTGTGCGTCTGTAGTGGCATTGGACAATAGCCACACAATCCACAAAGCTGTGAACACGAGACTACTCAGAAAATAGATATTCAATATTTAACTCGGGGAAATACCTAACAATGGAAAAAGCGCGAAGATGAATTGAATGGACTGGAGTTGATCAGATGGCATGGCTCGACCATGCAGGCGTGGTCTCTGCTGAATGTTACCTTATATCTTCTATTCATATTAAATATATTGTTCTTTCTCTAGCCTAACCTTGTTCTACGTCATTTATTGGTAATTGATACGATACAGTGAGTTGGCGTAGTCGATGGTGTGACTTCCACGTAAGATCTTATAGATTAGGCAGTTATATCATGACAAATCTACAAATTTAGGATTA